GTCTATATGGCTGGGACTTTTTTCCCCCAAGACTGGTAATGGAGGAAATAATTTTATAATAGGAAATAATTTTATAGTAGGATATTTATAGATATCCTATTATAAAAACCCAACTCTCCAAAAAATTTATTTTGAAGAAACCTATTTATTTTCATTTATCTCTGCTTTTCTTTCTTGCTAAAACTTTATAGTTAAATTTATTACACAACACTTAATTTTATTGCTCTTTTATTTCTTGTGTATATGAAAAAATTATATATATTTATATGTACATACCTAGACACATATATATTAACCCCCACTTTACTAAACTCTAGTGGATTACAGAAAGAATTTGGTTAATAATTAATTCACAGATGTCTTGCTGCAACACTATCTTCATGTCTAGACTGAATTATACATTATTTTTAAAAGAATGTCTTTTAGTGATGACAATAAATCAAAGAAAATGAAGATGTAGATGTAAGAAATTGCTGAAGTCTTTGACTTGTTGTGAAAGGTGGAAAATTTTAAGGGCTTCCATATTAAGGATGGATACAGCTAGCCATTGGTATGATGAGGGGGATCCCTCTTGGCAGAGTTATGGATGTTAGTTGTCTGCTAATTGGCTTGTTCTTGTAATCTTTAGAATAAATTAGATTTAAAACATCTGAACAAGAGTAGCTCATGTTGTGGTCCTTCCTTCAACTGGCTGTCCTCCTTTGTCTCAATATTATCATTGGCTCCTCTTCTGGAGAAAGAAGTGGGCTTCTTATTAGTCCATTTCCCCTATGACTGGTAATGGAGTGAGAGGGAAGCATGGTTTTCATTTGATTGCTAAGTTTCATGGTTATAAGAAAGAGGGTAGGTCATCATTTGCTTGAATGTCTGTCTTACTAAGGTGACAATTCATCCAAAAAAAATGGAAAACACACACACACACGCACACACACACAAATAATAAACAAACAAAAAATGACAACAAAAACACAAACCCAGCCACAGTATGAAGGGTCAATTACTCAGATCCAGACAGGTTCAAACTTTGGACCCTCCACATGGTTGGTGTGTGTTTTCTTTTTTGTTTCCATAACAAATTTGGTAGCAAGAGAAGTGTTTTTTCTCATTTTGTTTGATTATGATTATTATTATTATTATTATTATTATTATTATTATTATTTGTGTGTGTTATTCCATTCTTTTGGATGAATTGTCACTTTAGTAAGATAGACATTTAAGCAAACAATAACATACCCTCTTCCTTATAACCATGAAACTTAGCAATAAAATTCAAAAAGGCCTGAAGTTGAAATTGGTTTCTCTGGGCTGGAATCGAGGTATCAGCAGGGCTGCACTCACAGAGAGGTTGTAGGGAGAATCTGCTCCTGGCCCCTCCCAGCTCTGATGGTCACCATCATTTCTGGGCTTGTGGCTGCCTCCTCCAGTCTCTGCCTCCATAGTCACCCTGGCATCTCTCTCCTATTGTCAAATTTACCTCTTGCAAGCACATGCAAGATTGCTTTCGAATTTCATATAATCCAGTATACTTTCTATTTAAATATCTCAAGATCATTCACTTAAACATATCTGCATATAAATTAACTGGCATTCCAGGGGTCAGGAACTGAGTTGTTTTGGTGGTGTGATTTTGCCTCCCACAGTGGGTATGGCTGGGGCTTTTTCCCAAAAAAAACTGGTAATGGAGGAAATAATTTTATTTATTATACTGAGTCACAAAAATAGAATGTTTTATCACTTTATTTTCCTTGTGTTTTAAGTATTGATTCTTAAATTATTATATAGAATAATTTTTGGTATATAGTTCTATCTGTGAACACTGAATTCCATATAAATCTGTGCATTCATTGCACAATCATGATACAGAATAGTGCCGTCACTTCAGAATCTCTTGTCTCTCCTATAGTAATCACCCCCTCCCATCCCTAAGTCCAGACAAACAGTGTGTTCTTTTCTATTTGTGACTTTGCAGAATAGCCTGTGAATTGAATCATATAATTTAAACCTCTGAAGAAATCTGAGTCTTGGATGGAGGAAGGACCTGCCATTGGGTACACACCAGACCTCCATCTCTGAACCAACGTCAACTGTTCATATTCCTGAATGTTTTAAACTTTTATGTCATTTCATTTAAAAAATCATCATTTTGAAACATTTCTCTTTTCTTGAAAATCTGATTTCTATTTCTACCAAAAATGGAAAAAATCTCCACTATTATGACAATTCATAAAGGAGTTTCATTTGAGTGTTATGTCAGTTCATACAATCAGGTTGAGTCATTCTCTCTACATCAATTTAACTACATCAAGTGTATATTAAATGTTTATCAGTAGATACATTACTAACATTTTAAGTCTAATTTTATTAATCAAAGTCACATAAGCTATATTTCTTGAGACTGGGTTTTTTCCAGAAGTGACATAGAATGACATGTCCAACAATTCTTCAGGTTTGATTTACTACTAATGACTTTTTAGAGCTGAAATAAAACACTATTTTGGCCACAATAAAGCCTTTACCTTATCAAGTTGTTTTACTAGTAAGAGAACAAAATAGGATAAATTAGAAATATGTGACATTCTACCATTAAGGTGAGAAAATACCATTAAAATATTAAAAAAAGCCCTGAGAATTGGATAGGAGATATTGCAGTGAGTGTTTTCAATCATGTAGAGAATTCTGTTCTGACAGTCTTGCAGATTCTATCCACGTTGTTCTAGGGCTTGTGTGTTTCAAGGATCCTAGGTCAGCACTCATATTCTGAGAACTGCATGCTTATTGACATTCTCTGTAGAATCTTATTTAAGATCCTTAATGTGACTTATTTTTTAATTCTTGTCACTTTAGGATGAGTGATATCATATTAGTTGTTAAATGCAATTAGGATCAGTTCCTTGTACTTTATTTGTTCACCTGGTAGTAAACAGCTCTTAGGTCATTTCTATAAGGTTCAAAGGCATCATTCTCTGGGTTGTTTCATCAGGTCATCTAGGTTTAGGCCATGTAAGGGCTGATGAAATGAGAGGCCAGGAAAGGCAACCTGTTGGCATGCTGATGAGGATACTGATTCATGAGTTTACTTGTCTAGTTAAGTTTGTGAAACATGGAATCTGTATAATTTGGGAATTACCTGTACCTACTGGTGACTAGTGCATAGCAAGACAACATATGACTTCCTGTGAGGGGGAAAAATAGGGCCATGAAGACTTAGGTTAACAATGCATTACATAGGACATGGGGGCTCAAGCATGTCTGATACAGTAATTAATTTCACCTGATTTTTGTTTTTTATTTGTGTCACTAGGAGTGGAACTCAGGGCTTCACATATGGTAGGCACACGCTCCTCTACTAAGCTGTATTGTAGCACGATTCAGTACTTAATTTGATTTTGGACATTTCATTTGGTTCCAAATTTTCAGAGGACAGTGAGTTGATGAAAAAAAGTGAAATTTCTGAGTGAGGACAAACTGTTGCTTAACTGGCCCAGAAATGTGCTTCACATTAATTGAATGAACTCAGGCAGGGAACACAAAATTAAGCTGAGTTTTTTTCATCACAGGTGGCTTTCTGATAGGAGGCTGCTTCAACTCATGTAGAAAATAGACTTAGTGGTACACACTCATGACTCATGCAGGTGTTGTTGCACCTTTGTGAAATTCTTTTGGAGATGATCAAATGGTTCCACATGATTGTATTCCTGTTAATGTCCCATCTTTACTGTATTTATGGAAATTTTTGGTCCCAGGAAAGGCATAAACTGGCCACATGCTCTGCTATGCTAGGAAAGTTTTCCTACAGGTGAAGTGTTCATTTAACATTGCAGCCCACATGTTCCAACTGTGTTGTGTTGTCTCTGAGGACTTAAGCCAGCATTCACTGGAGATCAGTTGGCTCTTCTGAGGGGTCTTACTGGCTTTAGTAATATCTTATCTTCATTGATCAAAGAAATATGTCTTTTGTAGTGCAAACTTGGGAACCAAATTTTCTGGATCTGAGAGGAAATTGTGGAGCTTTTCCATGAATCTTTCTTTTTGTTGTATAAGAGATCCTTACTAAGGACTGTAGTCAGAAAGGCATGTTAAGTTCAGCATGATCATTTGCTCAAGCATCACCCTTCCCCAGCTTCTGTGGTGACTCTTATAGTGTGGAACCTTGTTTTCATGACAAAATTTCTATGATTAGCATGAAGACATAATGCATTTTAAGTATTTAGGGTTTATTTTTCAATCAAACTATCAGATTGAGAAGAGGCTAATAGGGTTAAGAAACATCATAGTCTGGAGGCTTGGAGGCTTTTAACTACATTGCAAGATGCTGACATCACTGTATATGTTTTTTTGTTTTCACATTCCTAAGAAGGATCCACAAATTCAGCAATCTGAGTTAATTTTTCTTCTACTTTAAGACTAGATATATTGGAATCTAGTATTATCCTTATTGTAATTAAATTTAATTCAAAATTTGGTATGAGAGTGTCAAAATATCTTTTCTGGATGTGGACACATTTTTGGGGGGCTAGGTATCAGGGATTGAACTCAGGGGCACTCAATCACTGAGTCACACCCCCAGCCCTATTTTGTATTTTATTAGAGACAGGGTCTCACTGAGTTGCTGAGCTGATTGCTAAATTGCAGAGGCTGGCTTGAACTTGCAATCCTCCTGCCTCCGCCTCCCAAGCCAGTGGGATTACAGGTATGAGCCACCGTGCCTGGCCTGGACACTTTTTGAATGCCATAAGTAAAATCATGAGATTTCTGTGAATGTGCAGTATAATGGATTTAAATATTATGAGAAAATTTTCATTGTATCTCTTTAATTAATTAGTCATCCACCAGGTAGAAAAATGTTCCATGTTAGTAGAGAGCAGAACAGTTGTCCTGTTTGTGGCATAATCAGATTTAGTGTGACTCCAGTGCCAGATCTGAAGTCTGTGTTGTTGAGACCGTCAGCCAGCCACAGAGAAGTTTAAGATGACACATGCCACCTCCTGCTCCAGGAAGCCTCTGTTTCCTGCTCTGGTGCAGCAGCAGCTCATAGCCCAGTGGTTCCTCCCTCACCCTTTTGGGCTCCCCTCCCAGTGCAGAGCCTGAAATCCCAGAGGAAACAGATCCTTTTCATCTAGAGGAAGAACACCAACATGGTGCTGCCCAGGCTGCTGAAGCTGGTCATGGTGTCCATGTGGCTGGGTAGGAATGGTCCCTGTGAGAAGGAGTCTCCTGTCTGTCCAAGGGACTGGGGAACAGAGTAGCTTTAAAGGGACTTTGGAAGGGATAGTTAGCAATGTGTAAAAATGCACCTTTGCTTTTTTTTGTTCCAACCACTTATCCCTCAACTTTCTGATTCTGTCCTTTTCCCTTCAGGATTCAGTTTTGCCCAGAAGGTGACTCAGGCCCAGCCAGCCATGTGGGTGCAGGAGAAGGAGGCTGTGAGCCTGCTCTGCTCCTATGACACTAGTGGTACAAGTTATGGTCTCCTCTGGTACAAGCAGCCCAGCAGTGGGGAGATGGTCTTCCTCATCCTTCAGAACTCTTACAGCCAGCAAAATGCCACAGAAGGTCGCTACTCAGTGAATTTGCAGAAGGCAAGCAAATCCATCCAGCTTGTCATCTCAGCCTCACAGCTGGGGGACTCAGCGGTGTATTTCTGTGCACTGAGAGATGACACAGTGAGAGGACTGTTGGAGGCAGTTGTACAAAAACCCAGGGTCTGCCTGAGACAGCCACCTGCTGTAGGGACCAAGGTAGACAATTACCACCCCAGACAGGAAGTGGCCAGGGTTGTGTCAGCTCATGTCTGGGGTTGGAGGGAAAACACTCACTCTGAGGAAACCCTCTCTAGGTTCATAGACCACATCAGAGTTATCACTAATCAAACCAGCTTTATTTCTGAATCTTTGGATTGAAGGTGAATACAGATTTTTTTTTTTTTTTTTTTGTATAGGCATTGAACTCAGGGGCACTTGACCATTGAACCATATCCCCAGCCCTATTTTGTATTTTATTTGGAGACAGGGTCTCCCTGAGTTGATTAGCGCCTCGTCATTGCTGAAGCTGGATTTGAACTTGCAATCCTCCTATCACAAACACCCAAGCCACTGGGATAACAGGCATGCGCCATCACACGTGGCTCAAAATTTTTAACAGAAGATAAAAGGGAAGAATTAGCACAATAAATAATTTGTCCTTTGGATATAAAATTTAGCTCAAAGAATTGGCTTAAGTAGTTCAGAAACCTATGACTGAAAAGTAGTAAAAATCTATATGAACTCTTAGATTTTCCATTAAGTATTTATTGAACAAAGATTGTGTTTCTAGTGTATTTTTAAATAAGGAAGGCCTTGAAATCTGCATGTGTGTTTAAGAAAAATTATGCTGCTTCATACAATCTAATGAATTTGACTTATGTTTGCCTTTCTTGAGTAAAAGGTGCTCATAGTTACTTTCTAAATTTGTCTATTATGCTACAACCCTTATGTTCTAAGAGTTACTTACATCTTCTCAACAACTCTACCATGGAAGAGCCCCATTCCCATACTGAAAGCTTCGTCTCACCCTTCACATCTACAGAAAGCTCAGTAACTAGTAGCTCTTGGGTTTGTGGAGGGTCCACTCCACAGAGACCTCTTTACAGGTAGATAAGAGAACATTTTCTCCTAAAACAGTTACCATATTTTAAAAATATTAAATTCCCATTCCCCATTATTAATATTTCCCTGCTTGATTTTTTTAGTTTTATTGTTCTATTTGTTTTATTCTATGCCAGTCACAGAAAGTAGTAAAACTTATTACATGTTAGGACAAATCACTTCTAAGCAGTAAGATTTACCATGAAGTTTTTAGTAATTTATTGAAGAGTTATTTATTTAACATAAATGCAAATATTTCCCCATTTTTCCATATTCAATAACCCTCCACTAACCCAAATGAAAAAAAAAAACATACAAAACCAAAGAATGCTGCAAAAACAGAAAGTTGGAATTACATCTATTGAACATATTTACACATGAAATATCAAGATAAGTGCTAATTTTCTCAACTTTTTAAAAGTTAAAGTATTACAGTTATACATAGTAGTTGGGTTTAACCTGAGACAATCATATATGCTTAGAATTTGATTTGAATTCATGTTTTCCCTTTGTCTTCCTCTCCTCCATCTCCTCATACCCCTTTCTCTACTCTACTGGTGTTCTTCCCCCTAACCTATGTACTTTTGATTGGGTCTTTCTACATACACATGAAGTTGAAAAATCCTGTGTTGTATTTATGTATACACATAGCATGATTTTTTAAAATTAATTTTGCATTATGTCCACTTTACCTTCCCTCCTCTCTCCCTCTTGATTTCCTTCAACTCTATTGGTCTTACCTAATATCTTTATAATATCCAATCCTTCCTTCCTTCTTTCCTTTATTTTACTCTAGTTTCCACAAAAGAGAGAAAATATGGCCCTTGATGTTTTTGAGTCTGGCTTATTTTACTTTGTATGACGGTCTTCATTACCTTCAATTTACTAGCAAATGCCATAATTTCATTCCTCTTTCAATTTGAGGAAAATTCTATTGTGTAT